CCCGCCCTTGCCGGGGGCTGACAGCGCGAGGGAAGAGGGGGCTGGACGGCCCTGTCCGAAAGGCACGGAAAGGAGCGGTGAGCTGGGCTCGGTCTCGCAAAAGTCCGGCAGGGTGCTGAGGGCGTCGGTGCGGGGACCCCGCCGGGCACAAGCCTCCTTGTCCCCACAGAAAGCCACAACCCCCCCTCGGGCAGCGCTGCCTCCCGTTAATGGTGAGCCACGGCACCCTGCACCGTATGACGGTGCCTCTTCTGATGAACCATGCGATGATTCAAGTAGAGATTCAACAAAAAGCTTGCGTCGTCAGAGAGGCAAAACCAACCTTACGCCAGTGGTGGTCTTGGACCCTCAAGAAGTGCCAGTGTGGCTGACGAGCATGAAATGCAACAAAAAGGCAGATACTGAACCTGCCTGCCAGCAGCCAGTATCTCCTTCGGTCCTTCAAGGAAACTTGGAGAACCAACATAAAAGTACCAAGGTCGTTTCTGGAGAGGGAAGTACCTGTAGAAAAGCTTGCATCAGGGGCTTCAGTGCCAGCCGGTGGGGGAGGCAAACAAGGCTCCGTCCAAAAAGGCACAAAAATAAGAGACAGCAGCAGCCTAATAACTCCTTTTTCAGACCACAGATGAGGCAAAAAGGCATGAAGAAGGGTGTTCTGGAGATGTCTGTAGATATAAGAGACAATGACTCTTCATTCCTCAATAGCTCCTATTCCTGGGGTAGAGTTCAAGCATCTTTGTCCTTCCATAAGAAGAAGAAAGTCACCAGAGAAGGGAGTTCCTGCAACAGCATCCTTTGTACCCCTTCCGCGAAATCCCAGCTTTCAGGGCACCAAGCAACCCTATCTGCTGATAAGGCTCAGTGCTGCACTTGGTCTGCTTCCTCCATGGTCCTGCTAGCTCCCAGGAGTACCTGTTCTGTCCTGGAGCTAGTGCTTACAGATGCAGAGAAGGTGTTTGGGGAATGCCACCAGGAGGGGCCTATCGCTTTTGAGGAATGCATTCCTCTAGATAAGATGAAAGATTGCAAGAAAATTGGAGAAGGGGTGTTTGGAGAGGTCTTCCAGATAGACAGTGAGAGAGGACCCGTGGCCTTAAAAATAATTCCCATTGAGGGGACTGAAAGAGTAAACGGTGAAGCCCAAAAGAGCTTTGGAGAGATTCTGCCCGAGATAATAATTTCAAAAGAACTCAGTCTTCTGTCTGAAGAGTCTGTGAATAGGACTGTTGGGTTCATCAGCTTGTACTCCGTGCACTGTGTTCAAGGGGCCTATCCTAAGTATCTCCTGGAAGCCTGGGACAAATACCACAAAGTAACGGGATCAGAAAATGATCGGCCAGACCTTTTTGGGGACCAGCAGCTCTTCATGGTTCTGGAGTTTGAATTTGGAGGCAGTGACTTGGAGAATATGAGAAAAAGGTTCAGTTCGGTGGCATCAGCAAAAAGCATTTTGCACCAGGTCACTGCTTCCCTGGCTGTGGCAGAACAGGAACTGCACTTCGAGCACAGAGACTTGCACTGGGGCAACGTGCTGGTAAAGAAAACGGATGTGAAGGAGCTTAATTATGTGTTGAATGGGGCAAGGCACACAATCCCCACAGCAGGGTTTCATGTCAACATCATAGATTATACCTTGTCTCGGCTGGAGAAGGACGGGTTAACTGTGTTTTGTGACCTTTCCACTGATGAAGAACTGTTTCAAGGCACAGGGGACTACCAGTTTGATATCTACAGGCAAATGAAAGCGGAGAACTCCAACAGCTGGACTGACTATCATCCACACAGCAACGTCCTCTGGCTGCACTACTTGTCAGATAAATTTTTGAAAGACATGGGCTACAAGAAAAAGGAATCAACTGCTGGCATGAGGAAAATAAAGCAGCAGCTCATTAAGTTCCACAAAGAAGTACTGACCTTTGAGTCTGCCAATGAAGTTTTACAGAACAGCAGCCTCTTCCAGTGAGCAAGGGAGTGCAGTGTTTCCAAGAACTAAGTCGCTGATGCTGCCTTTCTCCTTTGCTGTTTTTTTTATGTATGATCTTTTTAAATGTTGGCACAATGAAGAAGTTTTATGATCGGCTACCAATGTGTACGATATGCTATCAAAAATGTCTAAAAAAGTCTTCTGCTTTAAGGTGTTTCCATATGCACTTTTTTTGAGGGGTGATGGTGGGGAGAGAAGAGAGTTGACGATTGAGAAGGGCAGGGAAAAAAAGACTTCTTCAGGCTTAATTAATGTTTTGAATTCTACAGAAGTTTTCTTACCTTTTTAGTCTTAGATTATTAAAAGTTCTTTCCTTACTATATTGTCTTTCTTACAAATTCTTTTTTTTAAAGAAAAAAGAAAAAAAATGCAATTCTGGACAGTGAGGACAAAGGTAAGTATTCTTAGCCCAGTTGGAGACAGAGATGGGAAAAACCCACCTTTTGACTTGATTTTAAAAATAAAATTTTGTTCAGTTTGGCAAAATTTGTAGCTGGAATGATGCTACAAAATGTCAATACGTAAAGTTTCTGTAGCGTAGGTTTCAAAAACACTCTAATCTGCAATAAGATTTTTTTTTTTCTCTGTAAGGACCAGTGAAGAGGTATTGGATTAGGAAAAAAATAGAAAAAGTACCTGTGTTCCTGATGCATTTTTCACCGTTATTATCTTGTGACCTTGTATACTGATAGGAACCCAAATCTGTAACTTGATGGTAGCGTTAAAGCGATTTTCTCCGTTTATCTACAGAAGAAAATGCACAAGATATAAGTGTTCTTTAGTCCTGATTGCAGATGGATCAAATGACCTAAATTTGAAGCTATACTTACATTAAATTTGAATTCTTTGTTTTCAAGAAGTCCTTCGCTAACATTCACGTACATTAACGAAACTGGTCTAAAGAGAACGATAGATCAAACTAAGTGAAAAGTGAATTAGATTATTATTAAAAATCAGTACATCCAATGACCCAGATGCATTAAGTAATTAAGAGGTAGCATCATCAGATTGTTACAACTGGAATGCTGTCTATGAGGTCTGTCTATATATGCGTGTATATATGCAGTCTATCAATTAGATGCATCTTTGAACCTGTGTCGAGGTCTGCTTTTTACAAGCTAAGCAGTTAGGGACCCTCGGTACCCCCCTGCCTATGATATGGTTTTACTGTTCCGTCTTCCAGACTCCTTACTTTTGCTGTCTAGTGCCACAGAAAGTGACTTGACAATCTGCAGTGCTTGAAATTATTAAGACGGAAATTGCATTGGAATCTTACCAGGCATCCTCTCAATCTTTTTTTCCTCTAATTGACTAAAGTAATGCAATATAATTGAATACTCTTAAAGCTTACTTGGTAAGGACTGCGGTGAATGCATATCTGACATCAAGGACGTGTTCTTCAGTCAGAATGGTGCTATTTTCATTTATGCTTTAAAAAAAAAAAGATGAAACAACATGATTATCTTCCTGCCTTAGTCCTTTATTTCTATGGTTTGAGAACTGCTAATATTGGCTGTACAAGAGGGATGGAAACAGAGTGGCAGTAATTAATGAAAGGAGAGGTGCCAGCCCGCTTGGTGACATGGTACCAAGTACACTACATAGTAGTGTTGGAGTAGCCCTTTATTACTGCAGATTTGGAAAGCTGCCATTGCCTCGAAATGTTTCCCCGCAAACCAACGATAGTTTGTGAATAATTAGCATTGCTTTCGTTAATCAAAATTTAAAGTTTCTACCCCTCACAAAACTGGACATTAAATTCATATAGAAACCTTTGCCTTAAACTGTGCTTGCAATGAAGTGTAGGTGCCAGAGATGAGTCCTGATTTCCTTTTTAAAGATGCTCTCTGTTTAAAAAATGCTGTGTACTGGTCAGTCCCCATAGATTTTAATGGGAGGAACATGACAAGAAAGGAACCCGAATGGTAACTTCCCCCCATTAGAAAGCCCCCAATCAAGAAAAATGCCCTGAACATATCTTCTCACCCCAATCATTTGGAGTGAAAGCTTTACTTGGAACAGAGCTGGATTATATATTTTGATCATCTGTTCTCCCTGCTAAGGAAGGAGGATGCCAGAACCCAGTTTACCATTTCAGAAAACACAAGCTTTTAATTGTGCACTACACTTAAATTAGGACCTTAAAGGGTGCTCCGTGTTTTACTGAAATAATGAATTATGAGCAAAGCTAAAATAATCATAAGGGAAGGAAAGATTTTTCACATGGATCCAAATGCTTTCGACAATTGAAAAGAACACGTGTAGTTTTGTGTAACCAGTGACTGATAAATAGTATGGACACCGAGCAGGAATTCTGATATTTCCTTTCTAGTTCACAGTGTATTTTGTGGTGAAAATAGCAATACTCACTTGGTGATATTAATGGTGATTGCAGACTTATTTTGGAAGACGCTTTCATCTAATTGCCAAATCACTGAAAACTTTGCCTATTTTGAGGGAAGAGAAAGACATAACAAAATATCGATTACCTTGCAAATACTCTTTAACACACCAGGGTACTGTTAAAACGTGATGGCTAATGTATTTTCTGCTCATCATTCCCTTCCAGAGAAAGTAGACGTTCAGTAAAGTGCAGGAATATGAAAATTATCTCTTGCCTTGAGAAAACGCACACCAGCCATAAGCTGAATTAGAAAGAATAGCGGCTCTGGCCTAATTGTAGAGATAGAGAATGCAAGAGCAGCTGCTCAAAGTAGCATTTAGAGGTAGGGAGAAAGTGAAAATAGCGATCTCAACTTACAGTTGTCTTCTTGAATACCGGGTGCCCAATTCTGCAGTTACAGGATAAGACTACAGAAGTTAATGGTATTGGTTGGCCACAGTGAATAGCAGGAGAGGATGGCTGCCAACAGAATAGGAATGCTCTTTAATGTTGAATAAAAACAGACTGGGAAATTCAACTCAGCCTGTGTCTGCTCCCATAAAATGAATTAGGTACAAATAGCCTGATAAAAGCTTGGGAGTCTTAAATCAGATAAATCCAGTATTCAGGCTCTAGTCCTAACAACTGAAATGGCCCTTCCCTTCCCTGGACCTTACTTCCAGATTTATTTAGGTAGTAAATTAATAGGAGTCTGCACTGGGTTTTCTTTCAGCGGTCTGCTGCTAGCTGAAGAGTTGTTCTACGATCTTACCTCAACGGTCACCTTCTTAAAATGTAGGTTTTTAGGATAGTTCAAGACCATAGTTGTCATGTACGAGTCATCTCCACTGTTCGTTAGTGAAACATTCATGGTCACTTCTTTAGTGTGGCCCACCACTAATTCTTTTCTAGAAGTAGACAGAAAAATGAGATGGGTGACGTGTAATTTCTAAGGGCTGTTATTTAATAAGAGGCCTGAAGCGTTCTGGTCATTACTCCCTCCAAATGCTTTGACGCACAGGATAATGCAAACAGCCCAATTAATTATTCAGTATTCTTCAGGGTGTGTAGGAAAATGCTTCCTTCTTAATATTGAAGGCAGTCATCTCCAAACTTTATGTAATACTTTATCATTTCTGTTTTACATCAAGATAGATTTTAAACATTGTTCCACTTGATTAGCTTTTCAGTGAATCTCCAGGGTAGCTTTTTACAATTAAGAGATGCCTACTGTTTTCTCTAAGGCTATGTAAACTGAGCAACTCTTTGCTGTAGTGCTATGCTGTGCATCAGCCTAAAACAATGACGCGTTCACAATTAAATGCCAAAGTTGTGATTTTAGGATGACTATAGTTGTTTGAACCTTGGTCTCTCCTCTGAGATTTCCTGGAACAGCCCAGCAGCACCCACGGAGGCATACAGTTACAGCACTGTATGAATGTGATGTTACGGAAAGGATGAACTGAATGGAACGTCATGTAAACAAAAGGACAGCAAATCTTGTCTGAGAATTTGAAGAAAACATCTTATGCACAAAGATGACATTTTATATGAATGCTAAATGCAAAATCTGGATAATACAACTACTGTGACTCACTGAATCTGACTTGTCAAAGTTAAATGAGCAGTACAGATGGTCTTGTTGCAGTCCTTCTTGTAAGGCAACTGAAAGCAAACACAGATCAAGTCAGATTTTAACAGTCCTAATTTTTCTAAGATAGCAGATTCAGCAAATCTTTACATATGTACACACATACATTCTCTGAAAACCAAAATTCCCATGACTTCAATTAAGGAGAAGTTGGAAATAAAAGACCCTCTAGTGATAAGTCAGTCCTAAATTGATGATGTTTTGCAATTCAACTCCCAGGAGAAGGCCTATTAGCAGTAACATGAAAAGTCTTTGCTGCGGACAAGGTCTTGTTAAAGAAATGGCAGCTGTTTACCCCTGGATTGCCACAGGGTGATGATATTAATTTTTTCCAGAGCTGATATGTTTTTCTTGAATAAATATGTTCATATGCTGTGCCAGCTTATAGGCACACTATTTTGTAGAGATGAGGTTACTTCCTTTAGCAATAGCTTTTATTCACCAATAAAAATCTACTGTCTGTGGTGGATATTTCTGGAGCAGTTCAATGATAATTAATAATTAGATGTTGGGTGCATAAGTACTAAGCAATGCTGACCAATACTCAAGAATCTCATAATTATTCTTAGGAAATAAATGTACCATCAACATCATAATCGCCAAGAGTACTGCGACTATAGTAATTAGTGTTCATTATTGCTCAGTGCTAAATGTTGTCCTAACTTCTCTGTCCTATGCTTTATGGACAGCTAATTAAATATTGAATTGTGGTAAGGACTCCTATTAAGTAGCAAAAAGCTGCCTCTTTACACAGCTTTGTGGATTTTTTTCAGAAGCTGTGATTTGGATTTCAGACTAACTGTGAAAAAGAGCTAGATTAGCTTGTAGGAATCCTGCTACTAAACTGCAAGAGAAGAGACAGGATATCAAACTTAACTTTTAACTATATTAGAAGTTTGCAGCCTCCCAAATAATCAATTTGAAACGAACAACGAAAATAAACTAAAAACCATATACATAATTTTCATTATTTTTAAAATTACTTCATTAGAAAATTATATAGTTGTGACTACTAAATACACCATTCAAATAATAAGTCTTAATGTAAGTTCTAGCGTAGAGCTCAATATCTGAAAAGTACTTCACAAAACACACAAACCATCTGCCTTCTTCACAGGTAGCATCTAATCTCATTTTATACAGAGGCACAGGAGAAACATCGTGGTCAAAAGTAACGCAATTTTTTAGCAGATACCTGGGCCTAGAGTCTACCCAGAATACAGTATTGATAACTAGGAAGGGAGCAGAGGACAGAAGAAGACATGCAAAGGCTAAGAAAACCACAATTTAATTTATTTATTTATTAATAGTAAAAGCTTTGCATCCTGGAAAGAGAGAAAGTTCTTTGCTAGTGTTTTATTACCTGAAAATGCATTTCTGATGGCTTGTACCTATCCAGCACAGGAACAGCAAACTCCATGTTATCATTTTTCTTATAGAGCTTGTGTTTAACTCTCAGAAAAACACTGGAAAAACAGTCAAAGTCACATGGCTACAAGAAAGGAAGAACAAAGAGGTTGAGAAAATATCTGGGCATTAAAATGCAAAAGTCTTCGCATGTCACCTCTGTTCCAGCTTCTGTCATCTGGCATATTTAGGGACCTTCTGGCTCAGACGTTTTCTTTGGGCCACTGTGTTCAATAGCCATCAGTGGACTGACCGTAAGCTTGTCAAATGTTTTTTTTGACCATTTTATACATTTGGCTCCCATGACATCCCCCGGATAATGTGTTCAGCGATTCAGTTATGCACTGTGAAAAACAGTTTCCTTACGTTTGCTTTAATCCTGTAGAGCTCCATGCCTCTCCTACAATTCTAGGATTATAAATACTTTACACACACACACACAAAAGGATGAGAGTTTGATTTACAGCAATACAAATCAAAATGGCACATGACACATTTCCTGCTTCAGCTGTAAAACATGCTCAGCGAGTCTAACACCGAGAAAACTCCACCCCATTGTAGTATTTTTGCATTTCAAGAAAGTCATCACCGCAGAGATTCTGCTAAAAAAGCCTTTCCTCTTAACCCTTCTTTCTGTAGTAAGTCTGACCGCCATCACCTACCAGCGTGTAAAGCTGCAGCTCAGAGCACATGTGCTTGCTGACCAACAGCTTTCCACTTGTTGTGGTGTTCTGATCTTCAAACTGTACTCTCTTCTTTGCCATTTTCACATCTAAGTCCACCGTGTAGAGAATGTATAACTGCGAAAACACTGGAAGCGCAGACAGGAGTTTCTTGTGTGCTCAGAACAAAGTGATTGCAGGAGAGTCAGTGAAAGAAGGGTAACTGAGAGCTCTGATCTGGAGCTCCAGCGTTCACAGAGGAGGAAAAAACATGGGGATAGCTTCCCGCAAGCCAAACGAAATGGAAACACTTTTACATTGCCCCCTCAGATCCCTTACAGAGGTGCTGAAAGTTTAGGCTCTGAGATACAGTATGCAAGATTTTCAAAATCCTTTGTTAGATGTACCAGAAATTGTCCTCAGTGCCAAGTTTCTGAGGACAGGGTAGGACTGTAGATTCCAATCTGGTAACAATTCCCATTTATTACCTTGTTGAGACACTGGTAAAGCCGAGATTGTATCGAAACATAGTTTTGCTGTAACGATGCTGTTATTTTGGAAAGTTAGGATTCTCTCAGGATTGAATCTTATGCTTGTGAGAAAGTGGACAACTGGTCTCGAGCTAGTCAGTGAAGAACAGATAAGAAACAGAATCAAATATAAATTTGTGAACTGAAACATTACAGGAAAAATGTTTTAAGAAAGCCTGGCAGCAAGAATAGGAACTGCTCAGTATTTCCATGGTATTTCACCTGGACCAAACTGGCCTATTTACAGAAGTTCCAGTTTCTGCTGGGAACGTTCAGAACGTACAAAATCCCAAGAGTCTGAAGGAACAGACAGCCAAAATACACCAACATGGCTAGAGTTTCAGAATTAAACACAGTGTTTATGTTTCCATTAGATAAACACATTATCTAGCTGTTCAAATTCTCTCTTTATCTAAAATTTGTTTTCAAATACAAAATGCAAGAACAAAATCAAACGTCTGCCATGTCTTAGCCTTTGTGAACTCCACGGGTCACTCAGCTACCAGATGTCTGACTGAAAATGAGGTACGGTCTGTCAAGAAATTATTTTTTTGTCTAAATGACCTACATTATCAGTGTTGAATTGCAGACATCAAGGTCTTCTTAGACCTAGATCTATGGTAACCAGTTCATGTTCACTATCTCATACTTGTTCAAAGCTTTAGACTTACAAAGGCAAAAGCCTTTGCAACTTGAACTAAGGGCTTTACATTTTATACAATTTCTAGCACTGGGACATATTTTTTATGTCCCTCTAATGCTGAATTAAAAATAGAATCATTACACAGTGCTTGGAGCACAGATTCTATATTTGTGTTTGAAGCATTTCCCCAGCACGCTAAAACGTAGCACTCATTACCTACCGGAGCAAAACCACGTTCTCCAGTGATCCTACTGTAATATCTTGGAGGCCATCATTAGTGAAATCAAAGCCACCATCAATGGATTGTCCAAAATACTGGAGTCCTGAAGAAATTTCAGAGGCTTTTACTCTCTAAAAGGGGGCGGAACATTAACAAATATAAGTCAGGATCTCTCTCTTGCCCTTTGCAAAATACACTTCTTTTCACGAGGCTGCTGTAAAGATGATTTTGTAACACTTGTGAGATGCAAAATACTGACTCTTAACTTCTGTAATGGATGGGCAGGCTTGCAAAAGGCTATGCTGTTCTATAGGCAGCACCTGAACCCAGCTCCCGTGCCTAAGCAGACAGGTGAATAATTACAATTAAGGAGGCACTCTGCTGCAGAAATCTGTGGAGTCACATAAACCATCTGACATCTGCAAATTTCTCACCCATCCATGCAAATGAAATGTGGAAGTCCTTCCTCCCAGCCCCTTGCTACAAAAACACAAGCTCTTCTCTCTCGAGGGGTAGTGGAGGCAATTCCCAACAAGACACGTACTTGAGAAAAAGAGCTCTTGATCTTGTCTCTATCACCATTAAAGATGTAAATGCTGCCAAAAGAGGAACTGTTTGAAAGCTGATCTTCAAGGGGGGCTCCAACTGCAATATCCTCATATCCATCCCCATTGATGTCTCCAATGCTGGCCACGGTAAACCCAAACCGTGCAAAAGGAGAGGTCACCTGCACATTTAAGTGCCCTTTCATGGTGAATGAACCAGTCTGAAAAACACCCAAGAAGGAAATCCGTTTCTAGCAAATATAGCATAAGTAGCTCTTACATGAAAAAAAAAAAAAAATCTTACTGCGCACTTATAATGCTTAAAGGTGAACAATAAAGCCCTAAACAATGGAACAAGAAGTTCAAGATACCAGCTGACTCTCGGAACAAAAGCTTGATCCTTCAGCATGGAGAGCATGCAAATTCTCCCACAGAAGCAGTGTCTCTGGACAGCCCTATGCAAGCGGACTCACTGAAGCACTGTCTTTTCTTAAATCAATGGCAGATTGAGTTGATCCCCAGCTTGTTTCACTACAGAAACCATCCCATCTTCTCCAGCCTATTGCAGAAATAAGCCACAAGAGGGTGCATGTTATTTGAATTCTAACAGGTGCCCGGACTGTTGTTTTCTGCTTCCAACCATCATGTACGTGCCCTGAGCAAATTTTAGCCGTGCACCAAAGAGGGTTTCTCCTGGTCTGCTGTTAAAGTTCACTTCTCATTCAAAATCATGCGATTAACATATATCCTGTATATTGTGTAGCAGCTCCTGTAACTAGGCCCACAAAACATTTTGCTTTCTACAAGTCCCGGGAAGCAAAGTTTTAGCAGCAACCCATGCACACGTTTATTGCGAGCATTGCAAAGAACACTGCTTGGCAGAGCAAGGTCTGCACCAACAAATTGCCTATGTACAGGCAAAAGACGTGATTTTATCACACTGTGATAAGAGTATACCTTAGATATAGAATGGTTTTATTTCTTTAGTTATTTCTCTTTTATATTCTAACGACTAAGACAGGACTGCTGGCTTCATCCTACAGTCCTCTACCATACAGGGAGAGCACATTCAGTGAGAGCACAAAGGAGGAATGTTTTATTTGTCACTACTTAGGCATGGTTGGAAAATCCCCAACATGGAGTGTTTACGCTACCAGTGTTTTTACCTCTGTCTCCAGGCGATAGACGTAAACCCTTCCTTCTTCCCCTCGAATGTGATAAAATGGAGCTCCAACAAGCAGAAGATCTGTCACCCCATCGTGGTTCACATCAACTGGGCAGAGCTCAGAGCCAAAATAAGATCCAACCTGTGCTCCAGAAAAAGACAAGCAGCTCTTTCACTGGAATTCTCTATATATAGCTTTGTAGAATTAGTGTCCTTTGCAGCAATTTTTAGAACAAAACATCACATATCTACTTATATGTGGATCATTTCCCTATTATTTATTTTATTACAGTCATCCTTAGGGACAGATCCTGTAACCAGTTTAGCAGTAACAAAATCATTATTCAACAATTTGACAGAAGGAAAAGAATACCACAGTTGACGACCTCTTTCCCCAGGACCCATGAGAACAGAACATATAGTACACCCCATTTAGCTAAATTTCTTCCCAGTCTTTTTCCAAATTTCATGATTTCTTCTGACATTCCCAAAGCATTATGGAGTGAACAAAGACTGTGTAAGCCACATCTGGCTAAATGGGATGCTTGTGTAAGGGTCTAAGCGTGTCTGGAGGAGAAAATGCAGCTGCTGTTTGAGCAAACGAGATGTGTGCAGCCCACTCGGCCCCTCTGACCCGACTGCCCCTGGGTGAGCGAAGCACAGTACCTGTTCTCCTTGCAGGGTTTGTTTTAAGCGGCTGTCCTGAAACACCAACACCTTCCCTCTCATGCTGTGCCGTGGAGCTCCAGCCACGTACAAGGGTCCATATTCTGTGTGTACCACTGCCACGCTGTATCCTGGTGCACCCACACAAGGAGCAAAAACAGTATACATTATCAGTACCACACTCTACGCCTGAAGGAAAAAGCCCACAGGGTTTGGACTGAGACATGGACCTACATATTCAATGAGATCCAAGAGTTCGCACCATGTCTAGTTGTGGCCCACGGTTTTGATTACAGACCATCTCATTAAAATATTGATTAGGAAATAGCACGTAACTTTTCTGAGAGAAAAGCCAGCAAAGCTGAGGTTTTCCTCTCTTAGTAGCTTCTGGGTAATTGAACAAATTATTGCTCTGATAAACATGCTTGAGCTCTTGATGCCTTTTCTTAGCATTTTTCATATTTCCCGAGTGATTATCCAACATACACACTTTTTTTTTTTATTATGATGTCTGCAAGCTGGAAGGTTTATCACCCTTCACAGAAGTGAAGAAAACACTATACTCTGTATAGAAAGCACAAAGAGATCTGTTATGGGGCTTCTGTAATTGGGAATTAATGGGAGAAGGATTATCCTGACACAAACAGTCCGCAGCACCTCATACTACCTGGTAAGACTTTATGGCCAAGGCTATAGTAGGGAGATACAAAGCTCATGAGGCCACAAAGCACTGAGGTGAATAAGCAAGGCTTTATTTGTCACCAAGCCAAGAACAGTATTGATTCACAAGCTATTTCTTCTCCAGACACTCACAACAAGTGAAATATTTATCCTTATCAGCCCTCAAAAATGCCTTTCATTGCAAGTTTTCTTACACAGTGAAACCAAATGGCATGTGTTAACAGAACAATACCACAAGGCATCATAACTCTTAAGACAAAACAAGTCGCATCTTCCCAACAATAAGGAGACAGAGACTGTTTTCATCAGAATCTCTCTCCCTGCTAGAGAAAATATTCAAAATCCAGTAAGATGCTGCAGGAGGTGGCATTCTTCAGGTAAATGCTGTCGGTGTTGTCATACTGCACCGAACACAAACAAACTAAGCAAAACTGCAGTCAGGTTGTCATTTGATCTCAGAGAGGGGTAAGCTGATTACCTAGGTAACCGTATTTTGCTTTTTTGGCTGCTTCTTTAGATTCATTCAGGAAAACAGCAGTCTTGGTTGCCAGATCATACAGCAGAATTCCACCAGACCAGTCAAAGGCCCCCACCGCACCAAACATCAAGACTTGCTGCAGAAGTAACATACTGCAAATTAGAAGAGATGAACACAGGGCAATTGCCTCCAGCATTCTGCAAAGCAGTTTAGTAAGGAGCAATGTTTTCTGTCTTACAAGTCCGACACGGGCAGTTCTACCAGCTCCTGCCAGATACTGAAGAAAGACAAGGTGACTGCCCAGCATCAGAGAAGCAGCTGCACATCTCCCAACTCACTACATGAGTTTTTTTGTAAAACTGGATCAGTGTCGTCCTTGCAGCCAAGGCTGCTGAATGTTCATTAGTCTCCTCGGCATCCGCTATTTCTAACTCCCATTCTTGTCCTGGATGGACCAAGGTTTTAAGCCAGAGGATTCCAAAAGAGCAGAATTATTTTATTTGCAACATGACGGAGCCCCTGATTTGTGCATTGGAGATGTGAATGCCAGCAAAATCAAAGCTGTCAGCTGGAAATAGCTCTTTTGCCCAGTGGAATAAAAAGGATCCAGTGGTTAGAACAGGGGTCACATGAGATAAATCCCATCCTAAAATAAAATTCACTACTGACTGACTTTATAAAAGTTATATTTTTGCTTATCTGACACATTCAAAGCAAGCAGCGGCTCGCAAAGGAGATTTGACTACATGGGTCTTACACTTTTACACCACCATAATTTCTTGTGGGAGACCTCCTGAATCCTTACAAGTATCAAAGCAGCAGCACAGCATACAACTGTTTAGCAGGGTTAAATGCGGAACACTTACCTTATCCAAGATCTGCACACTGAAACCAGCTTGTGCAAGCTCATATTCCAGAGCATCACCCTGCGTGCCTGAGGATGCGATAGAAATAGGGTAAGCCACTCTCTCCTTATTTCTCAAAAGGTACTAATGAAATAGAAAGATTGCTGTTTACCTTCTATACCAATAATACTCTGCTGCAGGGTTGAAAGCAGCCCATCTAATGCTGAATAATTGGTCACCTGAAATACATTAGCGTCATCTGGACCAGATGCAATTAGCCGCAATTCATTTAGGGCCTTTGGTTTTCTGAAGGCATCTCCCACCTGCAGAAGAGATGCAAATCAATCAAAAGAAGCAACCTTCAGAGTCTCCTTACCCCCACCTACTTCATTCAACAGTTTGTGGTAAAAACCTCAGCTTCAGCCACTATGCGTAAACCCAGAAACCGCAATTGCTTTGGAAGCCAATGAAGTGGACAGTCTCAGTGTCTCCTGGAGCCAAACCTTTACAAAACCTCTTCATGTAACTGGCTGGTGCTGTATTCAGTGTATATACCTTTGTTGTACCCAACAATTAATTTTGGAAATCAGCAAGTTACAAGACATCATAAAATTGAACCTTTTCCTGTCCTGAAAGAATGAAAAGAGATAGCAGAAAGATTATCTGAGGAGACATATAGCATGTCTGAAACCAAACTTCAGACTTCAGGACAAAGCCTAGTTGACAAACTAACACATAGGCTAATTTGCTGGCCAAGTTAAGAATATATCAGAAGTTTTGTCCTAAAAAACTCAAATTTTTAAGCATGCACTTCATCTAGAAGGTAGCTTTAAATTCTTGGCCTAGTTCTGAGTCAGGAGGACTGCAGTTGATAACAAGCAATGAACAACGACCCCTCGGTTCTTCTATTTTGTCCTTGGGTGGGTAGGTCAGAAAACCCTTTAATTTTTATTTATCACTTTGACATTTTCCAGAATAACCTGGATAAAGAAACATAAATCACACTTTGTGGAGCTAGACTTGACTAAGGTTAAGTACTTTTCCAGATTCAGTCATTCTAGAAAGATTTTTCTAAACTTGGTACAAGGAAGAACGAGATGGTCTGATCCACTGAAAGCATGACTGTTCCGAAAAGTCTGAGAGTAAGTGGATACAGGGCGCTGAACGTGGTAGGTGCAGGAAGGAACTAACATGGGCATATAATTGACACTACATAGATTATAGGATCAGTTCATACCATAGCTTTATCTTTCACCTCCTTATTTTATACATGCCTCTTCCCTTATTTACTGGAACCATGAATGGATCAGTTTCTCCTTTTCTCTGCCCCCGGTGCTACCAAGAAATGGAAGGATGATACGATCCAAGTACGCCCCCAACTTACCCCAATGGCATAGCGCTTGATTCCTGCCATTTGGGGTGAATTTATCACTGTTGTCAAGTTCATTTCATCCAGGAGTATTTCCCCATCTGTAAGCACAATCATGACCTTGGCTGCATCCTTGTGGGACCCGTGACTTTCAGTGAAGATAGAATCCCTGGTAAAACATCAAAACAAAGAACTTGGGATGAAAGTTGAAGCTTCCCTCCTTGGGATAGAGGGAAGAGTTTTGTTGAAGTATGCACTTGCAACTAACAGTCACAGCAAGGAGGCAAGAGAATTTCTTTCATATTCACACATCTGAAAAATACCAGCTGCTGTCTCCCTTTCTAGTGCTTCCTGAGCGCCCCCACACCAAGAATTAGGCACCGACAGCTGGCTTTTATAACCCTCTAAAACTTGACACAGGAACTGCTGCCTGCCATGCAACCATTGCCAGATAAATGCCTGCTTTCAGGACCTGAATATCCATAGAAGTCCCTCTCCCTCATGAAATGCCCCAGAAATTCATCCCCTTCATTTCTTGTGCTCTTTTTTTGTTACTCACAGGACATGCTGCATGGCAGATGCTGTTTTTGTCACATTGCACACCTGGACAATATCAAGTACTTTCTGGAGGGTGGCACGTGGGTCCCAGTTTTCTCGCAGGTCGAACTCCGTTCTGATTTCAAACCCATACTGTACCACTGCAAAATTGCACTGGAAGGAAGCAGCAGATAAGCACCTGCTTGTGACAACTGCTGATTCAAAGAAAGAGGGTTCTCTGCAACAACTAGCCCAGAAATCCCAACAGAAACATTAGCCAGACGAGGTAGAAAGGAAGATTTTTTTTTCAGGAGAAAGTGGCTTTTAAATATGTCTAGTGCAGACACAGATATTGTTTTAAGTGTATTATAGCTGAGGAAAATGAAAGCACTAACAGTACAGAGAGAAAAATTGTTTTGGGAAACACTGGTTTGTTTTTAAGTCCCTACACTTTCCTGTTGTGTTTGGCCCATGTGCAGGTTGCAGAGGGGATTATCTGTGATATTACTGAATTGTTCCTTCATTGCTCCCTGCTGCACATTTTCTTTCCCTGGAGTACTCCTATTCCAGGATGACCTGGTTATCAAAGACAGCCTGGAGAATGGGACCATTTTTTCATGTTGTATTTGCACAACACCTAACATAATGTTTCTTTTTTCCACTATGCAAATAACAAGTTAAAATATGCTGATGCTTGGAGCATTTGAGAGGTAGAGCCTTTGCTAAAGTCGGTGTGTGGATCACACTTCTCAGTCTCAGCGGAGAAAGCAGTAGGTACCTTCATGCAGAATACGTGACTGCAGCTAACGAGGCTGGTAAGGTGCATGGCTGAAGTCTAATGGGTGCTTCTGCGATTGCAGGTACAGAGTTACAATATAGGAATAGAGACAGGAAACCCAAAGAAAGTCATGACTGTCACCTTACAATAAAGCAGAGACGGTACTCGCTGGGCTCCAAGCATGGCAGCGTGGCAGAGCTAGGGATTTCTGAGCATACAAATCACAGACTTTTTATGTCTACAGTGTTCTTGGGATCAAGACTGGGAACGTACTGCTAACATGTAAGCAAAATTATGTCGAGAACACATGCAAGTTGTGAAAGTGCTTCTCCATCCTAATGGAAACAAACCTGCACAGTCCCAAATTCCGGTGCCTACTAAAGAGAGAGAGTAGAGAGTACCTCGAAGCACTTCTCATACAGTGTTTTCATCATCTTGTGGATGAATGCTTTTGCTCTTTCAAAATCCTCCGGCTCAATGCTTCCTGATCCATCCAGAATAAAAGCAATCTCTGTCCCAGAACCTGCCCAGGATATGGAAAGTAAAGGAATGAGGAGAAGGCAATCAGCAGTTTTGGTCAGGACCAAGTTCTTTATCCAGTGTTGTCGATCAATGCACAAGTAATCTCACTCGAACAAGCGACTGAACTGTACCAAGCTGTCATTTCAGCATGAGCTATAGGTCAGGTCTGGAAGCTCACGGTACAGCAACCCCCCGGACTTTGTCAGTCCATGGCATGATTCTGTTAAAAGATAATTCACCACGTACGCAAGCCGTTTTCCTCCTCCTCCTCCTCGTCCTCCTCCATCCAGGAAGGGAGCTTGCTGTCACCACTGTCATTAGTGTTTCTGTGCTCTGGTGCTTCAGTTGGAGTATTTTCAGCTGCAATAGGAAACGAGTTTGAGCATAGATGACAGAGCAGTGGGAGAGAAAGCCAAAGTTGAACTAAAACCTTGCACTACGGCCTACGCAGTGCTGCCGTGCCTTGCTGCCTGGCAGCTGAGCTCTTCCTCATCCCTGCAGCCAATATTGTTTTCAGGCACAAGACTACAGGTGCTATGGAAATATTTGTGCGTTTTGAAGGCTGTGGGGATCAGGACTGCATCTTAAAACTACAGCTACAGTTCAACAGAAATAAACTGCTCTGAGCATGCCCAGAAGTGTAAGTATCGTAACAGAAACACTGAACATGCGGTGAATGTGTGTATTGTAAAGCACCTATCGCAGCCCGTCTGTCTTTCCGTACTGATGTTATGGCTGCAGGTCACAGATACAGAAGATGATCTCTTGTCCTCCCGGTTGGCTGGCTGAGGAGGACTGTTACTAGTGCAACAGAAATCACTTTTATTTGTTTTGCTGTTGCTGGGCAAGTGACTATGAGAACAGGCTAAAATCTGGAGATGTATTTACATTCCTTGAGTAATGAAACTACCCACCATCACAGATCCACTCTATCAGTTACAGAGAAGACAGATGTGTCAGGAGTCAGATTTCTTCTACCTGAATCACTCAGAGTCTCTCTCTCCAACTCTGAAAGGAAACTGTCAAAATCTTCATATGTAGACAGCACAAACCAGTCACTTCCAACTTTCTGCAGCTCTTCTGGGACCCACTGGTTGCTAATGAACTCTCCAATCTAGGGAGAAAAGCCATCAGACAGGGAGATTGAACATATTTCACACACAGACAAAAAACCCAACAAATTCCCAAATTGCCATTAAAAACTTGAAAGGCCTGAAAAGGGAGGGAGTTTTCTGAAAGATTGGTAAGCAACCCTGATCCTAGATTCCATAGAAAGCCCTTATTTGCACAAAAAGCTAATAAAAGCTCTAAACCCACAAGACATATACAACTTAAGCATCTTTGTTTCTAGGACATATTCCTTAACCTCATCCAAAATAAGCTCTCTGGCATCAAGAAGATGGAGGCCTGAGTGAATCAAGGGAGCCAGGGCATCTCAGATTGGACATCCTGCATGTCTAACGCACGACTACTTTTTCTTCCACCCACCACTAAAGCATAAGAGCAGACACACGGGATGGATGGAAACATCACCCTATATATGTGTGCTTTGATGCAAAAAAGTGTGGTTTTGATGGTGCTTCCCACTCACCCCAGGAGCATAGAGCTTGACCATAGCCATTTCCAGGGAGTTCATCACATTTCTCAATCTATGGTTTTCCAGAAATACTTGCCCAGATGCCATGACAATGATTATCTTGTCATCAGTCTGGCTGGAGCCATGGCTTCCATCAAAGACTTTATCCCTATGGAAAGAGAAGCCTAGAGGTATTTCATGGGACAATCCACATCTGCAGAGCTAGAAATGTCAGTGTTGGTGGCAGGGTGCTGATGTGCATTGAGCTCTCAGCCCACAAGAGTACAGACGTGCAAGGCAAATGTGCACAAGGATTTATGCTTTCCAGGGATATTGGCTGTCCACAACTGGTAGCTCTGACTTCACAAGCACTTTCACAAGTAGCATATGGAGCATTTTTACAGTGCGGGTCAGCATTGTTAGAGTCATGCTACTGAGAAGAAAATGGAGTCAAGAGGGAAAGCATGACTCCCAGAGATGCAGCAGACCAGTGAAAAAGATGGGAAAGGCCTTGGGTCTACAAATGAACACATGCTTAAAGCAAGACCCAGGTGACTGAATTTTCATTCTGAAGCCCTGTGTCAGCCAGGAAGGATTTCAGTTTGCCTCTTGGCAATTTCTCCTTGTGGACCTGATGGTCCTCATTCACAGGCCTCAGCTGGCAGAGCCTTTCACAAAGAGAAGCATTGGAAAGGTGAGAGCTTCAAGGGTGTGAGATGAAGAAGAGTAGAGAGGAGGCACAGGAGGCTGGATTGATGCACATGAAACACAAGGAATCACTTGAGTGTTCCTGGAGCTTCTTGAGACACGTGAACTCACAACACATGCTGCAGTGTGGCTGCGATGTCAGTCCGTGAGCTCTGCTGCTTGATGTTTCGGACTTTGAAGAAAGCGGTTAGTCTGTCACAGCTTTCTTGCAGGCTCAGTTCGGTTTGGATCTGTGCTCCGTATTGCACCACAGCAAACCTGATCTGGAGAAAGCAGATGGCAAAGCCAGAGCTGGTTAGATAATATCTAAGGCAGGATCCCTAAGTCCCTCAGAGTGCCAAGTGTAGTGCCAAACTTTACTGCACAAACACAGAAAGCATATATTGCAAGTCATAGGTAGATCAACTGTCTTTATCCCTCTGTCTCCATCACACATTTGTATTCTGGTGATCCCTTTTGGATCAGCTCCAGGAACTGACTTCATTTTCTTTGGCTCAAGACAATGATTTCTCTGTCTGAATGTCCTGTGTTTATCTATCTGGCTAGACCTTTCGTGACCACATGGCTCAGCCTCACTTTGTCCCCAGATTTATTTAAATCATTTAAAGTAATGGCTTATAAGCCTCACTCCTTATTTTTGTGTGTACTGCTTCAAGGCGCCCTGAGAAATTTGCGTGATAAAATATCTAAGCATGCTTCTGGCTTGAAAACCCACTCCCAGCTCTTCCACTTCCCTCTTCAGCTACTCCTCCTCCTTGGCTCACTAACACTTAACTCTTGCATTAGAATATGTAGAATTATTACCAGCATCGCTGTGAAGTTTAAAAAGCAATAATTATGTGAACGAGGAGACTTTCCATTCTTCATTAGAGCTCTGATCCATCCTGCCTATCAGATTATGAGACTCTGAGGAGGTTCACACACCTTCGAGCATTTCTGCCACATTGACTTCATCATATTGAGGATAGATGTCTTGGCATTTTGGAAATCATCTGGCTTGGTGTTCTCTGATCCACCCAGAATGACAGCAATCTCTGTTCCCAGTTCTGTCAATGCAGTTAAATATAAGAAGACATTTGAAGGGACACCTAAACAGCCTAACATTTAGCAAGGGTTCAAGAACATTGACATATTATTAAACAACCAAAAATCTGACTGCAGCACCATCCTGCCACTCCGAAAGCAGGTCTAGCTGATGATGTGGTCTACATTGTAGTGACAGGTTTTATTTTTTAAAAATCTCAGTGACTGATGACTGTAAAAATGATTGAAATTTGCCATTACGAATAACCTTCAAAACCTCAACCTTTTCCCTCCCCAGCTCTCTCTCACCAGATGAATGCAAGCTGCTTCAAACTCAGCTAATACAGAAGGAAGTAATGCTCGTTCATGTCCAGTACCTACCTTTGCACATGTGGTTGTTCCCTGCGCTGCCAAAGAGCTCACCACAAGCACTGCTGGTGGTGTCTGCGCTGACAGAGCTGCTGGTGTCAGTAATCTTGTCTCTGCTGTTTTTACTTGAAACGCTGTTTAATTTGGTCTCAACTAGAGAATTTAAAAAGCAAGAAAAAAATACACTCTACCTTTTGAAAATACTCTTCTAATTAACACACCTTAAACTCAAGATCTGTTTCCACCCAGGTTCCCAAATTTGCGGAAGACCTGAGGATCAGACTGTTAATAGCAGTTAGACAACTGAAGATGGAACAAGACCATCTAGGTGTCTAATTTAAACTTCTCCACTTCTTTGCAGTGACTGCAAGAAGCAGAGCAAGGCTAGACAATCAGACCAGCTCTCTGCTCCCTTGATTAAATGCCCAATAGCCCAGTTAAGTTGGAAGGAACAGCCTTGAGTGCCCAGGCACTTTTAAAAATCCCAGTGGATTTTGTCACATCTGTCCACTAAGAATGTCAATGCTTTTCTAAATTCTGGCTTAAGAGCTGGATCTTTTGGATGCATGGGACACCACAACAGAAAATCCCTGCTGCTGTGTGCTAGTCTTCAAGGCTGAACCTTGTAACCCTGTTGAAGTCAGTATAATATATGTCAAAATTCAGTTTTTAGCCTCTCCCAGTGCACCGTAGAGCTTGCTGGCTAGGAACTCAGAAGGCTCCTGTTGTTAGAGCAGAGCCTCGTGCTGTTATTTCTGTCTCTCTGCAAAGGCACAGTACTGGCTTTGCTCCTGTACCCATCTTGGTGAGGTTGAGGAAAGCTGTGCTGCGCAAGTCGGTGGTGAGAAGAGTACAGACTCCACTCATGTCCTCAGTAGTGGTGAAGGCTCGGCGGTGCTTCTTCTGCAGGCAAGCCTGTGGGGACGGTGGGGAAGGCTAATGAATGATGAGCAAGGCCGTAGACAGAGGGTGACTGAAGATGCCATCTGACAAACATTCGGCATCCCCTGCACAGCACGGAAAGCCTCCTAGCGAGAGTAAAAAAGCACCTTCCCTGATGTGACCCCTGCCGCATCAGGTTACCCAGGACTTCAGCCCTGCACCGAAGCAAAGAGTGGGGCTGGAGGGCTCACCAGACTGAGGTGTTAGCCTCCAAACCAGTGGCTCTCCCAAGCCTCCTCTGCCAGTCCTCCCTTTTCCTGTGAGTGGGGATGGCTGCAGTGAAGTACAAGGTCCACTGCAGTCCTCAGCCCATGAGGAGGGCCCTTCTCAGTTTTCCCTCCTGGCTGGCAATGCACCAGCTGGCTTTCCAAACAGCCAGTATCCAGTCAAGAGCTTTCAGCCTTTGTCCTTCTGTTGCGTCCGCTCATTTGTATTTCCCAGCAAAATTACACAGCATTTTGGAAAAATCCAATCGTCCCCAGCCATGGATATTTTCAGTCCCTTACCAGGATCCAGTCTAAAATGATAGCTATGCCACCGTCCTGGGTGTTTTTGAAGCCTTTAATCTTTCCTGAAATTGAATGATTGAATGAATGAAGAAGAAGAACAAAACTGAAATGGATACGGTACTTGTCAGCCTTGGACAGACACAATAAATACAGAAACAG